CTTTGGGCCGTTTGTTCGAATCAGCTGAAATAGTTCGTGGTTGTTGGCTGAAGCGGACATCCTCTCCATTCGGACCTTCGCATTCTACTTGCGTTCTCTATCCTTCTTCAGGCTCTTGCTTATCCTATGTTTGAGGGATCTGCGTGAGCCATCATAGTCAGTAGTTGCTGGTATGTCCTTCCTCTCAGTAATAAGGTCTAATGATCTCGACGATATCCAGTGTTTACTCAGTCGGGATGGATGGCTTGAACAAACAGTCCTAAAAGCTGAGAGCCTAGCCTCGTTAACTCACCTCTATTCAAACTCCAGGATATCTTCGTCATCCCCATGGCCATGCGTTTCCAGTAACTTTCTAACCATATAAGCTCGATATTCTTGAGCTGCTGAAACCTGTCGAAGTTGACTAATGGAGTTGCTCTTCTTTAGCGCACGCAGTGGGTACGAAAAGGGGAGCGACCCGTGTAGCGAGTTGCCCAGAAGGAACGGCAATGGTTAGTTGATGCTGTCCATCGGTAACTGATATCCACGTGATCCTATTGAGTTCGTGAATGCCTTGCAGTTGGAGGTCTCTAGTAACTCAGCGTGAGCATTTATGCTACTAGCACAGAAAAGATGACGTTCATCACACAACTGAAGTAGTCGCTCTACACTTTCCATACGCTGAGCATGGACTCTAAACCTACTACTTAATTGTGCCTCTTCCGTCCAACTTGGGAGTTCGTAGCACCCACCATGATGACTATACCTCTTCATGCTGACCGAAGCAGTCGTGACAACTCTCGGTAAGGCTAGTCCCTCTCACACTCAGAGCTACAGTCTGTCTGCCGATATGATAAATGAGCGCCGTTTGCCGCGTCCACCTGAATTGGTCTAAATTTAACCAGACAACCATATGGTGAAAATACGACTGTCTACTAGGATCCAGTCCAGTAAGGTGCTTTTATCCTTGGGGTTGAGTGCTACTCCCATACCGTAAACATCGCGAGCTATCGCACCAGGGTCATCAAATATCCGAAGAATGAGGTATCGAACATTTGAGGTGGTCCTAAGCGGCTTCGGTGCATGGCCTAAGTGGGGTCTTGTATGCGTGTTTCGGAGACAACGAACATCAACAGATAGTGGAAACGATTTCAGAAAGAGATGCCTGTTTGCCAATTTTTCGTACGGACGCTGAGGATTACAATGTCAATAGGATTTTTTGAGATTAGCGACGGATTATTTTGCCGGGCGATAGTTTAGACACGGATTAATGGCAGGGGGATTGGTGGATGGGTTGGTCGCACTGCATCATTCGATGGCTGGGAGGGGTGGGAGGGAAAGCTGGTGAGCGAAGAGCTGCAAGGATGAATGTTATTTCCCGATTACCCAAGTTGAAGAAGAGGGTTTAGCTGAGGAATCCCACCTTGAGCCTTTGACTCCAAAGCTCGACCCACAGGACAGCGAGAGGATTTGTCGTTTCGATCATGGATTCTGCCCTAGCTTCTGACTAAAAATTTGAACATCGGTGCAGCGGTTTTAAGGGTTTCAATGAGGGACCCTTCCCAGGGCCAGTCACTTAATAGTCTCACTCACTTCATCATTGTCAGCTGTAATAACCGCATACTCGTCGTACAGTGGTGGTAGCTGCCGCAGTTTCGTTCATCGGCGATTTGGGGGAGAAGTGGGTAGCTGCGCATTGCAGGTAGGAGCTGATGATGATGTGGGGGGAGGAGGAGTAGGTAGCTGCGTATTGGAGGCGGGAGCTGATAAATTAGTGCGTAAATCCAGCACTGTCAGTGGGCTGTCAAGTGAAGTAGGGTTGGAAAAAAAGCTATGCATTGAAGGTAATAGCTTTGATGCACGAGCGCCATTGAGGGCGCGACTGGGCTATGTCCGATAATGTCTCTAGCCATCGGTGTGGCCTGTCTCGGGTCCCCATTCAGGAAGACGGCAGTGACCAGCGCAACTGAGTTTGCTGGTAATGGCTTTCATACTTCGCTGCCAAGTCATTGTTTGACCGTCTCTGGCTCTCTTCCACTCCTTACGTGGTTGTGCGAAAAGAGCCCTTCGAGAAAGTCGGTCCACTGGCATACGCAACACGTGGCCAAGCCAGCGCAACTTATACAGTGTGATCAGTTCATCTATCTAGGGTGAGTTATTTCTCCCGAATACCATTCGATGTACTTCAGAATAGCTGATCCGGTGTTCCTACCAGATTCGGACAATGCTCCGAAGACATCGATGGTCAAACACTGAAAGTCTTTTGACGTCCTCGGCGCGCAGCCGCCAGGTTTCTGACCCATATAGTAATATGGAGCGCGCCGCAGCATTGTAAACTCGACCCTTGAAAGGTGGGCTGATGTCACGCCTACGCCACAGGTGACGTAGGTTTGCAAAAGCTGCTCTGGCCTTCTCAATCCGGATGGGACCGGCTAGGCCCGAGGTCGCAGGGAGTAAGGCATTACTGTCTCACTCCTGATGCGGCTGCTTTCAGAGTGCGCTTTTTGGGCAGCACCAAACTTCGGTCCTAAAAGTATTGCGTTTGACGATCGCCAGTATCTATTGCCACTGCTTTGTGAGATTTTTGCGAAGGTGAACGGTGGCAAGCATTTTATGAATTTGGAGGTCTATTCGTAGAAATCGAAAAGGAATCCTTAAACCTGATTATTACCATGTGCCATAGCCCGTTCTACTTCACACGATTACCGTTCGGATTGAAAAGTGCACCAGAAGTCTCATAGCGGATTGTGAACACGATTTGCGGATTATGTGGATGAAGTCGTCGTATATCGTAGGACAATCAAATAATCTTCCAGCTTATATACTGTGAGCCAAAAGCATGCGTTGGTGCATCGATAGATGGTTGATCTAGGGATTCCTTACCGAGCCGTTCGTTCCTGACGATGACCACCACAAATTAGCGAAGTACAAGAAAGTCAGAGTCAACCCGGATCATTGCTCAGCTTGGTTGGCGGGACCACTGCTTCATCTGCTTGCTAGTAAGCCGATACGAGCAACTCAAACAGCACTTAAGATGAATGAACACTGAGTTATTAGAATCATGTCTGTGAGTCATGCCTTGTTTGATGAGGTGGTCTTGCTCACTCTGTGTCGCTAGTAGCTGCCAAAACTCACCCGGGTAGTTCACGGTTCTTTCAGGAGAAGATGTTCATGTATTTGTTGGTGAAATTTGTACCTAGTTTGGAAAAACCCATCTCGGCTGGGGTCATCAAACTGGTTGCGCAAATATAAAAAATGTTTATAGCTGTTATATCTGGTACCAGATTTCTTCAACAAAATCACCACTTTGAAGATGCCTGTCCATTGGAGATATTGAGGAAAGGCTACCGTTGTACCTCAAGTCCTTGCACCCATCTTGAGGACCTGTGTTAGACCTTCAAAGTTGCCACGTTCTTCCTTAGCCAGTCTCGCAAGACTGGTGTGTGTTATTCTAATTAGGGTTTTCCCATAGAGTTTTGGGATGGAATCTGTAATTCTGGACTTCTGTCAGACTTCTGTCCGTGTAGTTAAAAGAGCGCTGACTGCACCTAGGTAGAAGTCATCAGTAATTCGAACAGCAGGCAGCACGTGAGACATCTCACAGATATCTCAGTTTGTCAATTTTGCACGTCGAGTCATCTGGACTTCCTACTGGACAGTGACGTGTCTTCAGATCCGTGTTTAACACCCGTCCCAATTCTCCACGATTTACAACAGTTAAAAAAAATCGTTCAGCTGTAGCGCCCTGTCGTTGCCTAGCTGCCATGCCACCCGAAGGAAGCACGAGGGCTGGGATACTGTCAGGTTGCCCAAGCCTAGACAGGGGAAGTCGAGTGGCGGAGGTCGGGTTCGAACCACGGACCTTCCGGTCAGTAAATTCGCGCTCTAACCACTTGAGCCATCTCGCCCCAACAGTTATCACATTTTGGAAGTTTGGATAATACAGCGCGAACACGGAGGCTGGTAGCTGCAAACACTTCATATTGTCTCGTCAGTATCAAAGCCAAAGAGCTCGAAATAGGTCAGTGGCTGATGAAAACCCGTGGTTCAAGCCCAAACCCAACTCAATTGCTCCTGTCTTGGCTTGGACAGTCTGGCAGCATTTCAGTCCTGGTGCTTCCTTCGGGTGGCGTGACTACTGGGCATAATCATAATCAGCATAAAATCAGTGTTCAACACTGATGGTTCGCTACCGTTTAGAAAGGCTTTTGTATTTCCTTATAGAAGCCAAGAACCGAAAAAAATGGCTTGCATAAAAACTTACAAAACGAAGTTTGCCAGGTGACTACAGAGAGGACAGGTCAGCCGACGGGACAAAAACACTACCGTTACGTTACTTAGTCTACGGCAGCTTAAGGGTCACATCAAATTGCTTGTGCATGTGTACTGTTAGCTTTGATCGATTTTCTGCGGTGGCATCGGCAAACCTCAGAAAAAGTGTATTTCGGTAACGACGAAGGATGTAAATGCTGAAACGAGATTGACTTGATTGTATGTAGGGAGTAGTTGTGTGAACATAGAGCATTGTGCTGCTTTCTGTCTGCAGCTTGTCCGTTTTTTCTAAAAAAGAACTCTATTGATGAGTTATCTATCGGTCCTGTCAATGTAACTTGGCGCATGGTCACATAAGTCGGTATACGCAATGTGATTTGGACACACTCGGTTTCCCACTTTTGATCGAAAGTAGTGGCATTTCTCGAGTTCGGTTGCGAAAGTATTTATTTCCGCTTTAGTGTCGCCGATAGTGAGTATGTTACTGTTGTCACTGTGGTGTTTTTGAAGGTTATCGACAGACTGAAAGTATTTCAATGGACATCGTGCTAGGTCCATTTCTATTTAATTTTCAATCACAAAAGTAGTGAGACAGTTCGAACTTGATTTCCTCTCTTGCTACGTGGATGATACTCTGGTGGTACCCAGAGAAATTGAACATATTCGTCAACTCCATACAAGACTAGACTGATGGTGGACCGTTGCCGAATTTCCATCCCTTATTACTTCTACTGGTATGCATCTGGATAATGCATCTGATATCTTTGAGAGGATATTTTTTCATGTTCTTCGCAGAACTCATGTCCAATTTGGCTTTCAATGCGGTTCGTCGCTCTGCACTAAACTCGCAAAAGTTCAAATACTTCCTTGTTCTGGATTTTGAGGCAACTTGCGAGCGAAACACAAAACTTCGGCCAGCAGTAAGTAAGCCAAACCCAGAACTTGTCTTAGATAATTCTGTGTATAGAATTCTCCCTATGCAGTTCAACAGCGTACAGTCAGTATATTGAACATAGTTATGCAGTGATAGGTAGTATCGGCGAACTAGGCGTTTATATTTTACGGTACTGCAACAAGCTGCTGCAAGGAGCTAGACGGATTTAGAATTACCTCCATCCTCTGGAAGCTTCTGGACATTTTCTGGTTTGATTATTTACCTGTCAAGCTAACATAGCCCCAGGCGCATGGCGCGTCAATGAAATGTATCATTTCAGTTACAATTCAATTGCTTAGAGCTGCATAACTATCTTGTTTACCAATCTCACTTACTGTCTTGTCCGTCATTTCGTTTGCACCATGTGCACCGCTTTAATCCATGGTGGTTCCTTTGTTACGAAAGTGCCGCCGAGCACCTCTGGGTATTCAGTAGCACCAGTTTGCTTTAGTTAGGGACGAGATGGCTCAAGTGGTTAGAGCACGAATTTACTGACCGGAAGGTCTGTGGTTCGAACCCGACCTCTGCCTCTCGACTTCCCCTGTCTGGGCTTGGACAACCTGCCAGTATCCCAGCCCTCGTGTTTCCTTCGCGTGGTATGGCAGCTAGGCACCGAAAGGGTGTTACAGCTGACTGGTTATCTTATGGTTAGTTTACTTTAGTGCTGCGCACCGAAAACGGGTACTGGGCACTCCGAGATGCCAAATGACCTCGACTCGCAAGGTAGGATGGGTAGATTCAAATCTCTGTGCAAACAAATAATCTCCGCCCTCGGGCACGTAGCAACCACATATCCCTGTTCTACCGTGTGCTACTCGCATTCTTCAAATGAGTACCTCCCGATCCGCGTTATCGTGCGGTCATCCATTTAGACTTAAATGATTTTCAGTCATTATTTGCCCCTCTGAAATGCCAGTTTTTTTTAACCCAGATTTTGGATCGAGATAATGATAAAATTAATCAGTTGGGTGTACCGGCACCCTGTTCTGTTTTTGTTTTAAACGAGAAATATGGTTGTTTGCAGGTAGAGTGATAACCCTCTTAAGTGAGGCTTTGGTCACCTTGCAATCGGGTATAAATTATGAAAGCCCAAGATAGCTCACTGGTTAAGGTGTCAACATACTGACCGGAAGATCTATGGTTCGAACCCAACTTCAGCATCTCGACTGCTCCTGTCCAGGTGTGGACAACCTGGCAAAATCTCACCCCTCATGTCCCCTTCTGGTGACATGGCAGATAGTCATCGAAAAGGTGTAACTGCAAAAGGGAATAAAATGGAAACTTCTCGCAATGCTCCCAGATGTTGTGCCTCATCGTTTTATTGTTTTTCATACTAGTCTGGTACTCTCTACTGTTATATTAGCCTACTAAGGCACGATTCCTGTCCAGCGCTTTATCATTATCATTTTACCATTTCTTGATCAGGAAATAATCGAATTCCCGGTTGTGAAACTAAACAGTCAAACGCTATTGCAAGAGGGCGTCTTCCACCATTATGTCCGGCCGGTGTTTCATCCAGAGTTGACAGACTTCTGCACTGAGGTTGGTTGTTTATACTCCACTGATAGTATTCACCTGGTTGTATTTTTCATCGATATCCATTTAACATTCATGTATGAGTAGTATTCATGGTTGCTCCTCAGTATTCTCTCATTGGGTAGATGAGCTTCGGTGCACTCTGGTCCTCAACTAGGTTTTAACGGCAATATACGTATCGTTCTCCTCGTTCAACCGACTGATCTTTCAGGGCTGGGTGTCGTGGCCACTACTTTGGTTTAGCTATCCGGTAATCGCCTCGAACTGGTCGTACAGGACCCACCAATCAGATCATCTGCGGCAGGAATACACTTCACGGTATCCTCGAGGCATCCGGCTCGAACATGAAACAAACAGCGTTTTGCGGTTTTAATGGCCTCCAACGCGATGAACTGCAAATTTTGTCGTTAGTTAACCAGCTTGTCGTAGAAGGCCCATTGTGCGAAAACTGTGATAATTTCTTGACATCACTGCTTAAGCTGAAAGCGTGACTAGAGCGATAACATCCTAGGAATACTTGTCCGTCCGCTTTAACGTGGAATTGGAACAAGTAGGTTCACATTTGAATGGCACCCAGCAGAATGAAAATAGCGGACATTCATCCAAATTTTATGCAGATAAGCGTCCATTCCTTCCACATGTCCGCTTTAAAATGATATCTGTTGATGTATTATCTGGCACCTACCACCTCATCGATATTGTACACTGATAGATGATACACATACCCAGTTTTGTTGTGCCTCCGATTAGTCTCCGTTTTTCCTCTTCGGTAGAAGTGGGGCACTGGTAATACTATTTCATCGCATGTATGATGTCCGGAGTTCAGACCCGGACACCGCTGATTGAGCTCTGGTTAGAGCGAAACTCCAGTCAGGTCCTTCTCCCCTGTGTTGTGGACCGGCGAAATTAATTGCGCCAGGATAGGATGAAGACTACTCAAACAAGAGTGATGTGAACAGTATTTCACTTCCTGTTCCCAATCACTGTAGTTTGATTCTTCTAAGCCTTGATCTTTGATTTTTCCAGAACGGCCTTTCTGGCAGTGCAGTTATATAAGAACTGACCCAGGTGGTTTGGTGCTTTGAAGAGTGTTTTTTCAGTAGTATGCAGGTAGGATCTACCACTGACGCTTTGTTTTTTCTATCAACTTTCATTCCGGTAACCAGTGCTTTAACTAGCTGTTTTCAATGGGCAATTTTCCTCGTATTTTGGATTGTGTCTTTGAAGCGCCTTCTGGAGAGGTCCCAACTTTTTATTGTCTGCTGTGTAGCATCTGATATCGCAGTTTGATGTGCACCAGTTACCTACCTTCCTGAATCATTTTGCTGTGTTGAATTTTTCCATTTCGGTCTCGTCCTTTTTCTGGATCGATCTCCGCAGTTCTTTCTCTATTTGCCGCTTTATTCTCTTTTAGTTAACTGGCATCATACAAGATATGGTCGATAATCAACCACGTCTGGAAGAAGTTCTGCAGGTTTGTCTTTATCGAATTTCTCAAAACTCGCTGTCCTTGACTGCATAACTCTAACTGATTGCATAAAATGAAGGCATTTGTCGTACTGCCTTACTGGATGTCGGTCTACTCATGGTTCTAATGTAAAAGCCTCAGAAGTGTGTCACGACGTGACCGATGGTCCTGTGGCATCAAGATGTAAAACTTAAAGAAAATGGTCACTGAGAGCATAAATTTCCTTTAAATTTTCGTCTCTGGTTGCTCATCAGCTGGAGGTACGTTAAACTTCGGATCAGCCATGAGGGTATAGTAGCCATGCAGTGCCTTCCCTCTTTTGCGGTAGAGTTTGGCGTAGGTTCGCATGGTATATCTCGTTTTTGAAACGTATAAATATGCTCATTACTTAGAAAAACATTTTGATTGATATCTTCAGCTCTGATTAATTGGCAAGTCAAGGTGACCGTATTGTGTTCAATATCAGGCCGAAACGACAATCCATGTTTGTCTGAATGACCAGATTCTCAGTAACACTCGCAAGAGATGTTATGGGACGAATGCAAATTCTTTTCATGGTTACAAGTACATGACGATATCCGAAGCAATAAGGCAGGAATTGTACTGTTGGCTGCTCGGTAAAGGATTGGCTATTCGCTAACCATGGGGCGAGATGGCTCAAGTGGTTAGAGCGCGAATTTACTGACCGGAAGGTCCGTGGTTCGAACCCGACCTCCGCCACTCGACTTCCCCTGTCTAGGCTTGGGCAACCTGACAGTATCCCAGTCCTTTTGCAACCTTCGGGTGGCATGGCAGTTGGGTACCGAAAGGGTGCTACAGCTGAACAGTTTCACAAAAAATTAACTCACCACAACGCGTCTCTTCAGTAGCCACGTGGATGTTAACCCGGGCTAAACTCAATGAATTGTACTCGAAATGCTCATGACAGCCTTGTAGTTGTGATACGACGATCACACCATGGTTAGAACCGTCTACACAAACTGAGCTGTACTTTCAAGAGACAGCTCCTTAGGCGAACCACTTGGATGGTATTCTATATTCTATCAGTGAACCATTAAAGCAGAAAATTTAGGAGAATGATGTCCGGGTTTATGGAAAGTAAAGGAAGGAAATCTCACTCAAAAGAATAACATTTATACGTTCTGATAAGATCCACCCGAGGGCTTGGTTTATATTCTGCCCTTTTCTTTCGGTCTACTGTAAAACCCTACGTAGTGCGGAATGACATATTACTGTTTTATTTATCGACCGGGGTTTTTAGGTGACCGTCTTGGGTAGGACATCTGATGGGAATCTAGTTTAGGCATTGAGATGTAAACTCATTCATCTGTGTGTTCTCATCGTTTCTCCCAGTATCCACCTCCCATAAGTTACATGTGATCAACCAGCCTCCTGGTGCCGATTCAGAAAGAAGTGAGACGAACAGTCCTGTGGGTGTATTGCACGAAATAAAGTAATTTAGGCTTTGCTCGAATTTCGTAGTGTTACAGTGAGCAATATGGACTTAGCTGCGACCACTTTTTCCTCGTCCCATACGTATGATTCTGTTTGCAAAGCATTCAGTTTTTCTATCTGCTTGAACCGTGAGCCATAACTGGAGACCTTTCAGAACGCCTGGTAATGTATGATCATACTGTTACACATTGGTTTGCTACTTATTTGTTGTGTTCTGCGGATTTTCGTTTTGAAGTGAGTAAGCAATTTCCTCATCCTCTTTTTCGAAAAGCTATTTGACGAGTGGCTGGTCAAAGAAAAGTTGACAGGAACCGAGAACACATTCAGTTTTGTCACCTGTGGGGATTGGGATCTTCGTACAATGTGAGTGGGGGCTGTAGTAATTTTTTGTATCAGTTAATCTTGAGTAAATCGTCTTATGCGTTTGATTACATTAAATAAGGCGCCGTCTCATGGTTTCTCCCATCCCCAAAATTTGGTGACTCTTCATCTCATTCGTTTGCCTAATACCTAGAAACCTTGCTTTTCTTGATGTGTTTATTTTTGTGGCATTTTTAGCAACGAAGAAGTGTTGCTTCTGTTGTTATTCCGGGTTTAGCGTACCCCACGAAAAATCGTTTAGATGTACTTGTAAGCCTGTTGTTTTTGCTTATCACCCGCCCGAACACCAACTGTGTTCGAAACTGTACATCATCGATCCTTATGCCAATATCGATCCATTTATGTGGGTGACTGTTCCATGCCATTAACCATGACGTCAACTACCGTTCCCCCGTAATGAACCAGGCTCACGTACGTTGCTCGATGCATGTAAACTCAGGATAAATAAAATAGACTACTCTAAAAATGTCAGTAGCACAAGATTGGCCGTCAAATAATAATCCGGTATCTGAATGCCCGTCCGCCATGTTGTCCCATTCGGAACCGGTTATATCTTCCTATTTTGCTCATCAATTCTGGTATACAGTTCCTCAGCTCTCGACCTCAGTGTTGTTGATGTTAGTGCAGTCGTTTCATTTATTTTTATATGTTCAGTTCCTAATCCTTTCAGCCGGGACGCGATACTTCAATATCGACAATACTGAGCGTAGTTTTTTTTTGGAACACTCCTCCAATGTTGGCTGTGTTTAGCACCCTCCAGACATCCGCAGATATTCCAGTCTTGTATGGAGTGACCGTGTTGCGGGTCCATCTCCTAATGACTTTTGATATCGAGGACATCACACCTCATACTCGTCGCTTAATCAACCCCACTGGATACCCACCGTTTTGAAGTCTCTGTTTCACCTCAACTCGGGCTGCTATACGGTGAACTTCTGTGCACAGCCTGATGATTCGACCAAGGATCCATGATACAATTCTGGTGTATTCTAATTTATGATGGGGGTCGAGTAGTTTAAGACGTCACCTGTGCCTGGTAAATGATAGTTTTCAGGGTGTCGTACAAACCAAGAGAGGCAGTATGCCCCAGTGCACACTTTCTCCATGCTGAACTTTGTGCGCATTCAACGCATCATAGAAACCTTGACCTTTCCAAGGTTGATCACCAAAGTGGTGTAATTTGCATAACGCCAAAAAATTTGACGAACATTCATGTCCGGCCAAAGTCTTCTGTTCGAAGTCCTCCATATAATTATTTGCCAAAACCGGTGAAAGGGGCTGCTAGAGGTATAATTCCTAGAGCTTGATTCTGAGAAACCGCTGTGCACAAATGAAGTTGACCCAATTGAGGCCGAAAACAGAATTCGTGGAAGTTTGGTTGACAGGCAAATAAGACGTGGTATCAAGATGCAGTAATGAATGAATCGGCATGACAGTCGTTCCGTACAACGCGGAAACATCTGAGGTTACCCAGAGGGCACCAAACATAGCCAACATTAGATTGAAAGGATTAGGAAATGCACATATGAGACTAAACACAACGACTACACTAAGGTCGACAGCCATGGAGCTACATTCCAGAAGTGAACTGAATGAATAATAAACAAACCATCAAGAACGGAAAATGAATTTTAAGCGGTTGTCAACTACTCGATAAACGCTGGACACGCGTTGGACGTAGAATGTATTAGAATACTTGTTTTGGAACCTTTGGGGTTGGGTCTTCGATTCACATCACATCATGACAGAGGCAGTTGAAATAGCCAAGCATCTCAAAGGGAATATTCACTTGAAGAGAACTAGAAGAACCAAACCTGCACCCAGCCAAATTTATGTAGGTTTTTCCTAGCCCGCTGGTCTTAATACCGAATAGCTTACACTGACTAACGAAAGCCCTTAGCTGAAACCTAACACTGAATAAGCATGCTGATTTGCTGTTGATTAGTTCTCAATGCGCCAATCTCAACCAATCTTGTAATCTGGTGATTTGGCTCGAATAAACTCCTGTCAAGAGCAAAACGTTGCTGAGTAATGAATCTACTAACGGTTTTCCTAACTTTTATGAAATGAAATCATAATTCTATTCTTTACCTGCGAGCAGGCATTCTGGGCATCCTAAATTGTTCTCCAGTTAGGGTGAAACCTCTTGGAAGAGGTCAAGTATTTGAAACACTTTTGATGGCAGTTGCGGTTTGTTAGCAAACATTCATCAGTTTGATCTTCCAGCAGGATTCACTAGTGTCTAATGGAATTTTTCACTTAGATAAATTCGAGTGTTCCAGATGTTAATAGCGTTATAAAGTATGTAACAGATGCATAAATTAGGGCACTAGTTAGGCTGGCCATATTGTCTCACTTCGGTTACCAAAGAGCGGGTTTATCCCACTTAACCACACTCGAACAAAAACGAAACAAATATGTGTCCAACTATCTTGAAAGAACAATTTGCCTAGCAAAGTTCATGGAACTTGCGTTGCTTATTCCCACTTTCTGTCTCCAGTGACTTCAGTCCGTAATACACTTCTGTGGGGTGTTCTGAGCTATCATCATACGGAAAAATCGATCAAGCCAAATCAAGTCAACTCGAGAAGAGTACGTTGGTGTGGTGGTATAGTGTAACAGAAACTAGTATGGTACAGTATAGTATAGTATAGTATAGTATAGTATAGTATAGTATAGTATAGTATAGTATAGTATAGTATAGTATAGTATAGTATAGTATAGTATAGTATAGTATAGTATAGTATAGTATAGTATAGTATAGTATAGTATAGTATAGTATAGTATAGTATAGTATAGTATAGTATAGTATAGTATAGTATAGTATAGTATAGTATAGTATAGTATAGTATAGTATAGTATAGTATAGTATAGTATAGTATAGTATAGTATAGTATAGTATAGTATAGTATAGTATAGTATAGTATAGTATAGTATAGTATAGTATAGTATAGTATAGTATAGTATAGTATAGTATAGTATAGTATAGTATAGTATAGTATAGTATAGTATAGTATAGTATAGTATAGTATAGTATAGTATAGTATAGTATAGTATAGTATGGTATAGTATAGTATAGTATAGTATGGTATAGTATAGTAATATTATAGTATAGCATAGTATAGTATAGTGTAGTATAGCATAGCATAGCATAGTATAGTATAGCACAGTATAGTGGCAGTCAAGTTCTGGGATTAGCCAACGGTATTCCGTAATTTCGTGCTACTGAATTCGTCTAATCGGAGGACTGTTTACATTTGAGGCGCACTTGTGGGGAAGTACTCAACGCTCCCTCACGTTAGGCACTGGGTTTTTGCATATTGCTGTATACTTCTAGTCGACTTTGTTTTGTCTGTGTACATTAGTGAATGAAAGACGAAAGCTAAGAGTGTACTGCAAACACGACCACCTCCAGCAACACTGGGATAATCTGAGTTCTTTGTTTCTCCCATGTTTCTGCTTTTACGGGGTATTTTGTGTTACTTTTTGCCCGGGTAATCCGCCAAAACTGGTACGTCTGAATGAGCAGTTTTTGTTAGCCATTGTGCCCCTGCTGTTTTAACGGCCATAGTGAAAAACCTCCTGTACTTGGCTAGCTCTCAGGCGCCGAAATCATTAATGCAAACAGTAACTGAACACAAAAATGTCAAATGTTTTAAGTGGCATTTGTTAATCACTGCCAAAAGCGCTGTTGACCTTTATTGCGCTTTTTATATGGCACAATTGTTCACGCTGACCCGGTTCTTACATGCATTTGGGATTCCTAGGAGATGTATTAACGCCCTTGTCAGATTTCTTCATATTCTCATGTAGACGATTTTAGCCACATTCGAAGATTTTCCAACATCTCAAATAATTATGAATTTATGTTGGCCTGCCGAGCAGATACCATTGAATGATAGTTCGTATTGATTTGGCTCTATTCGTTGACAGCTTGTTGCATAAAAATTCGCCCTTTCGTCAATTCCATACTGTTGCCAAGTTCAACTTGCTTTATAACTAAACAAACCGTCATGGAAAACATGTGGCGACTGTTTTTGGGTAGAGTTGTGAGTTGCTGTGGTATGCGGCACTAGATACATTTTTGAGACGATCCACAACATTTTTGCTTTGGTTTTATTGAATACTTCGATGTAATTTTAGTTATTCTGAAGTGTTTATACTGGTGAAAATGGGTTTGAAAGGTCATACTGAATTTTCGCGCACTTTCGGGACGCAATTCCTGTGCACTTCTAACGATGTTCTGCAAGTATTACACCAGTGCATAGCAGATGACTTACTTTTAATTTTCTTCGAACCACACTAATTTTCTCACTTATTATCTGGGAGATTCATTTCGACTTTTTTCGGAATCCATTTCTCTGTATCTGCCACAAACTCTCTGACATTGATTAGCACTGTCAGCGCTTTGGAGATATCATTGGGGTTTTGTGCAAATTGACGCTTCCCGTACGGGTGCAGTTCAGGTGAATTTTTTTTCGAACGCATCATATATATCGGGTCTCTTGTACCATAAAAACCGTATAAAATGCCAATGGAAGACCACGCTTTTGTGGCAGTTTACTGGAAACTATCGTATCGCTCAGAATTAGTGCTTCCTTGAGTGCCAAACCGGTTGCGGGTATTTACTTATGTGCGCGTTATTTACTGCACAAGCTCGTTGAACTGGTTGTCCGGTCGGGTGTTCGAACGCTCTGTCTATACCTCCTCTTTCGAAACTCATGAAAGGTAATGCCACTCCATCGAGCGCCTCATTGTCTAGTATTACTGTGTGTCCTTTACGGATAGCAGTGTCCCTAATAAGACAACATGTGGCCCCTACTGGTGTACGAAAGTTGGAGTTAGCTGAGGCTATGCTCGCTGGCAACTTTCCTAGTTTTCTTAACCTGAAAAGATATTCAGAAACCAGATGAGAGTCTTCCGACAAATACACTCATTTGCATGGCGATTTGGTTTTGACGAGAGACTCAACTGAATCGCTCGTTTATGATTTTCTTCAACTGAATGTGCTGCACAAAGGCCGCCTCGTGTTTCAATTGGTACAATACTTGAGTGTATTTTGGGTCCGAATAGAACACAAGGTCGATGGAAATTCGAGGATTCCGCCTACCTTATGATCCTCACGAAGGGCGAAACTGGTCATAGGCTTTCGAGGAGTTTTCAGCAATCTTGTGAATAGTTTGCAGATGAGAGCCTCTTTTGGTTACATTCTCAGTGGATACAATTGGTCTTGTTTTCTTCGCAGAAATAGAAGCGCTGAGAATTGCACTTATAATCGAAACAGATTAGTTTTCATCCAGTTTAAAACATGGGTGTAGAATATGGGACAGGAGTATCGACACGAACAACTTGTGGCAATTCATCAACCTCTATTATTATAAAAGCTCACGTAGTGCAAATTCCACAGACACTATTGTGTCTGTCTGGTCACTCTCATTTTGTTTGTTCACGTTAAGGTGGCGTTTGCACTATCCGTTCATCGAACACGTAATCTCATGACCTAACTGCTTCATTCATCCTGGTTCACATCGTTTGTGACGCAGCGACATTTGGATGTCTGTTCGAACACCGACGCAGACATCGTCGGTGATGTGCCCCATCCCCTATGGAATAGGCCGATGATTCATCGGTTGTCATCAGTCTGTCACTTCTGCACTCCAGGAGGTCTTTGTAGTTGCTGTTGTTTTCTTTGTGGACGGTTGTTTGTTTGTCAATAGTTTCCCAAGGATCATTCGACGCGGCATGGGTGATGCTGTTCTTGTCGCTCACATCACTCGTGTCAGCAGTGAACTCGTCTTGCCTGTGTTTTATCATGGCTCCGAACTTGATGCTTACGGTTCTCATTACTTCCATGTCTGTGTTGACGAATGCCTGTTGACCCTTGTGCGCGCTGGTTTGTCTAACTTTTTCCCAATGTTTAGGTGCGTATATGTTTGTTTGCCTTGCTCTTATCGATCTGTTTCTGTTTACCGTGCATTGGTTTTGTAAATTAACTTGTTCAGAGTATCATGGACAATGTCATGGGGACTACCACCAGTAGTTTCCCTAGGCATCTGACGGACACATTCACAATCAACTTGATAAGTTCTTCAAGTCGAACGACAGTAGACGTAAGCACAGAGATTATAAGCTACTCTCGGATGCTTTGTGGATGATTCAACCCAACCGATATTGATTCTAACTCCATAATGGATACTTTTTCCTAGACTACACTGGAGCCCAACAAAACCCGATGATTGCGCACTAAACATTTTGTAGAGATGTTTTGTGTTGAACTGAACTGAATATGTTCCCCTAGAGAGTTATCTTACAATGTTTGACTGAATTGGGCTTTCCGTGACAACACAAGTTCAACTAATCGTTGACGAACAGCTGTCGGATAAACGTGCTCCCGTTTCCCGGCTCGTGATATTTTCCCTGAATAATGTTTTTCACCTGTTCTTAGTCCCAGGCTACAATCGGGGTTTATGTACGTTAGACCTATTTAGTTACTCTGTGTTCGGCATCTGTATTTCGGTGTCTTCGTTCACCAATTTTGCGCTCTGGGAATGTTGTTTTTTCATCTGAAAAAAAAACTTTTGCTGCTGAACCGCTTCCTATAAAAACTCCTTGGAGTATGGTTTTCACTTCAGGCTGAACAAATTGTATCGTTGAATTCNTCCTACAAAACTCCTTGGAGTATGGTTTTCACTTCAGGCTGAACAAATTGTATCGTTGAATTCGCCGACGCTACCATAATTCCTCCGGTTCTTGATGATGACCTGATGACCTCTTGACCACCATTTTTTCCTGTCTTCACAGGTTGCCTTCTCAATGCCGTGAGTTGGGAATCCCGGTTCCCCATTACTTCAAGCAGTGGATTAACATAAAACAGGTTGGTTGCTAATCCCAGCTCAGTTCTAGATAAGTGGATTCTATTGATACCTAAAACATGGTAGTATGACCACATTTTCGCACCAGGTTTCCGTCCGTATTTGAAAGCTTTTGCTTTCTGTTTCATCTGATTACATTTCAACTGAAGTTGTGTGACAGCTATGCACCGAACTCGTGGCTCACTCGAGAGCGATTTGATCAGATTGGTAGAATTTGATCCCTTCCCCCAGTTCTCGAGCCCCAAAATGTTATATTATCCTGTTATTCTGTATAACCCGTTTGGCGACTTATATCCGTATTTATTTGACTCTAGTATATCATGAATCCCATCCTCCAGTTGGGAATGTCAGAATCCTTTGACGCTAATTCTGCTCTTCAGCATAGTGACTGTGTCAGTATACCAACTCATTCCGAAATTCAGTCAACTTGGTTTCGTGGTTCGAATCCGGTTGGTGAAGGTGGACCCGATTTACCCGTGTTCAATATATACTGTTGGTTTTCCTGATTCAAACGCCCAAACAAATACTTTAGTACATAATTTAACTGCTTCCTACTTAAATACCCATACCCCACCTTTCTTTGACATTGTACAGACTTTTCAGGACGTTCGAGGCCTCTTCCCTCACTCATTACCGCACATGCTTGCTGATCTCAATCTGCCCCTCCAAGGCAGACATCATTCCGGTATAGGTGAGTAGCTAGTTTCATGTTACGCGTACATGTTTTCCATGCTGAGAAGGTGAAGTGGTATGCTGTAAGCAACCGAAAATCATCTAACTAGGATAATAAATAGGCTTTGTTTTGAATAACTTAGCGCGGTTTCTCGCCTAATACGATTGAAATAACAGAGCCTGGTTTACGGTCATTGAAGTCCAGTCTGCAGTTGTTTCAGGCGTGCAGTGCTTGCGCGAGGTGTTAAACTGTGGAGACATGTATCTGATGCTTTCTGTGACCGAATGTGGCTCGGAATCGAAGGTAGCAGTTTGCACTGAAACGACATTGAATACTTGTACTAGACTTGTCTAGGGCTATACAATGTTGATGTGAAACACTTATCATAAGCTGCGAGCCGGTGCAGGTTTCTTCGAAAAAAAACCTCAGGTTTACTGATTCAACTGCTGTAAGACCTTTTCAGCAATGAGAGAGAACGGATATTTTCCCCTTCTGCTTACTGTGAGCATGTTTCTGCGTGTGTGCCGTGCTAGATGCCACCTTTGAAAGACAGGTTACGGTCACGCTTGCTCATTCGAATGCTGCTGTCGAACATCGTACATTAGACGCATTTCAAGGTGCCTACAGGAGACAATAAGTGAATCTAATTACCGCCATCTACCAGTGGTCGAGCTCCGATATCGAACCTCAGTACATTTACCAGTCATCTTGAGTCCGGAGCGCGTCTATAGTGTATACAGCTTGCTTTCAATTGGTCATTAACAATGAGAACACACATATGGCCATTTATATCCACTTTGAAAGTCTCCTTTGTACACAACTGAGATGAACATCCACCTCATCATATCCTCCCCCATTGTGGCATTAGTTTACCATACCCTAACCAATTCGAAACTATTATCTCCTCATTATGTGAGGCAGCCATATATGTTGTAGGGCTGTCTTATGGATAACCACAGGAAAACAGCCTTTTTCATCATATTGTTAGCCTGATCATCTTCTGGATGCTGGCAAAAATCTCCTTCAACATACCAACCGGATAAGTGGTTTTCTCGTTCGTTAAATCACTCGATAGATGAACTCGTCGATCACAGTCACCTATCCCTGTTCAATGACGATTTTGATGTTCCAGCCTACCTCCCCACTCCTGCAACAAAACTTTTGTATGCTTGCTATGCTTATTGTGTCGAGCAGCTCTTACTTGCCCATTCAAAACAGTCTGTATTTCATAGCATTTAAATCCTTTGTTCGTCTGATTTTTCGGACTGATAGTCGTGGGTGGTCTAAGTATTCAAAGAACTTTCAAACTGTCAAGCCCTGTCCTGAGGACGTTACTTTTCCATTTTTTACGCATCTGAAGAATTAATTGGCACGTGGTTGAATGCGTTTCAAGTACATAGTTTATCACAACACAGCGAAGGTCGTTAGATTCAAACTGCGCAGCAAGCGACGCTCATGTGGACGGGAGAACCGTTTACAGATGAAGTGTTCCTTTTTTGGACAGCTCCACAGGCATTCACCTCTAATGCCCTGACAAAACATCAAAGTGTACTCTACACCTCTGTTTTAAACTGACGTCGAAAAGTACTCGCGTCAGTTTGTTCGTAGTTTTGACGTGCAGCGTTGCCAGTCGTCGACAGTAGGCTCTTGCGCTCAGCTATACTGAATAAGAGAACAATGTCGGATTGCACTTTATTCACGGAGTGTTCTTTGTGCGTTTATCGTTATCACAATAAACTAACTAAATCGTTGTCTGATTCGATAGGTCGCTCAAAAGTCCCGTGACCATCGTAATGAAAGGGTATTAGTGAAACCAAGTTGAAATCAAGTCCCCAATGCTCATCTTTTGCACAGTTACTTGACACTGGATGAGCGTAAAGAATAAAGAACCTGTCTTCTGTGAGATGGTCTGCGTTAGTCAGTCACCCATCAGCCGGGATGAATTTCACTGCATAAATAAATGTCACCTCATGGAGAAGATAAATTGTGACTGGATACCGTAAGTAGGCCTCGCCTTGCTCATAACATATTGTCTAGAAAATCTTAAATATATGGTCAAACAGTTTCATTTTCAGAGTCATTCTCAACGGAATTAAAGTAGCTTCTTAGTACTATGTTAACCACCTTCCGGATCGCGAAATTCTCACTGGCTGAATGTTACTTCCTCCTCGGGTTAGCTCCTTGGGTTAGGGTATGTAGTTGTAGTCGTATGGCAAATATGCCATAAGAATTTAAAATCTCCTTTTTTGAGGAGCGGAGATGCACCAGGCACTGCCTCTTCTGGTTTGGGGATTAACCCTGAATCTTATGAGTGCTTCCACAATAAACTCTCTGAAAATAGCAGAGTTTTCGGGAGCAGTCCGTCGAAGTGGAGTTTTGCTCTACGTTAACCTACTAACAGGTTTATTGGGTTGGATTTTTTATGTGAATTTGAGGTTACTTCCGCACCGCAAAATAAAGATATAATTGCAGCAGAATTGAGTCAGTTCCTTCGAATTTTTATACAACCCGAAACTGTTCGAGCTACAAGGTTAGTCATGTGTGAATTGCATAGACTTTGTGGTAGCTATAATTCGCTCTAATTGCACCGCTAATACAATTGAAACAAGGGTGCAATAGAAACGCAGTGACCAGATCTTGGCTACGAGCATCTCATCGGGTAACAAGGTGCGAGGATGTCTGGACAACCTGTCACTCTACCAGATGAGACGAGATGTTTCAGTCGTTAGAGCGCAAATTTACGGACCAGAAGGCCCGTGGTTCTGCATCTCGACTTTCCCTGTTTACGCTTACACCACCTGGCAGTGTCTCAGCCCTCGTGTTCCCCTTGGGTGGCAAGGCGGTTAGGCATCGAAAGTGTGCTACAGATGAACTTTGACTTTGCGGCCATTGTCGTCTCGAAGTTCATGAGTTGTCTTCTGAGCATCTGCATCCTCATTAAACGAGATCGGGTGGTTTCACTGAAAATCCGCCATTTTTTTTATCCATACGGGAGCGTTTCCAGTTAGTTTTTGGATAGTTTGGATATCATCACAACGCTACCTTTGAACCACGAGTAGCCAGTCGACATCTTATTTGAGGTCACTCGCGAAAGTAGTCTAAGATGTCGGCGGAATTACGACGTTGCACGAACACTTCAGCAGTCTGTACTCATGCGGAGAATGTGCCTGTGTCATTCAGTCAGTAGTTTATGACCGCATGAAAAAATGCGACTGAATGTCACAAATGGAAAGTCCGTAATAACCGGAATTCGAACGATCGATTGGACCGTATGAAAGTCTAGTGGCGCGCCCTGAAGGTCGTAATTTGAAAGGATACTGGTGAAGTAGGCGTCGAGCGAAAAAATCTATGACAGTCATGGTGGCCAAGTGGGTCAGCACCGAGCAGCTGAAAAATGTGATGCGGTATTAAGTAAAACTCAATAGGATCGGTCACTAATTATCTTATTGGTATGAATTGTATAGTGGTGTTCAGTATGGTGGCATGCCATTACAAAGGTAGGAAGCGGTACACCGGATAACACGGATAGTGTTTCGAATACATTTTCAACGGTTTCATCCATCATTCGTCACCAACGGTTTGTGTTTACCTGCTGGTAGGTTGAAGTGACTGACGCCACTCAGCTTTTGTTTAGGGGGGGGGGCACTCCTTGCGTGACCTGTAGAGCTGCACGGGTTTACAGGAATTGCTTGAACAACACTACCACCATAGTTGTTTAATTCCGAAAATGCTCTCAACAACCTGGTCCGTTGCATTTGATTCTTTTACTCTCTGTCGTCGTTTTGAGAACAGTATCTAACCAGCTCCCTTAGACAAGCGGCCTAACAAACACCAACTAGGTTGACGCTGGATGCCTACTTTTGGACTTCTGCCTTAGTTGAAACTACACAACGTTATTACTCTTGGATGGACTTAATAACAGTGGCTATATCATATGAAGTCTTTCGGAAGCTTTTTTTGGTTACAAAGGATGATTTTTTCCAGGAAATTCACTCCAAACCACTACCAGTTGTTGCCAATCAACGTAGAGTAGATTCACAGTAAATCTAGGTCTTTCAACGGTGTTCCATGCCGACCATTTTATTCCCATGTTGCGTAGCATGCCCAGGCCCAAATCCATTTTTGCGAAGCCTAGCCAAAATTTCCGTGGGTTTAACACTATCCTTACCGCCTATCTTTTGGTCGGGTCAGTGTGTCCGGGCTACTTCCTTGATCGTTCCATATTTGATTTTTTTTGTTACAGATGACGCTCGTAATATTGCAACTGTCCTTTGTCAATTAATCAAACTTGGAGCCGTGCCTGATATCACTGGGTCGCTTTCGTAGACAACCGGAGCAGGAAAGAATTAATTTGCATTTGGGTTGTCTTTGTATCTGTACTGGAATGCCAGTCCGCTCATATCAACTAGTTAAAGCATTTGACTTTTAAGAATTCATAAAACTTCAGCGGTTTGAATTTCGGACTGATTTCCCCGAATTTCGCACGCTTAGATGACTGCAAATTGGGGCAATGCAAACCCGGTCCAAATTTTCATATGCCGTCCCATCCCTCTGTACATGTATTTAAAGCTGTTTTCTCTTTTTCGAACTGATTTTTAAATGTTGCTCACTGATTTGTACAAGATTCGTTCGAAAGAATCCCTGACTAGTCTTATCTCGTTCCCAATCTTGTACGATCTTGGGTTAGACTTGAGCTAGAGGAGGCAACCGGCTACTATCTCCTGTATGTCCACTCTACGGAACTTCAAAGGTAGGTCTTGTTTGAGGGTTGAGTCGTGTATGTAAGAACAGGTGTTTTGCGAAATGGGAATTTACCGCATCTAGGCGTAGTTACTGATTGCTTGTCTAGTTCCCTGTCATTAGGCTTTCAAGGCAATGGGATCGATACACTCGTATAGCTTTTCTCTAGACAAAGTTCACCAATTCCTTATGTTCAAACCAATCGAATTAAATATGAAAAATCGCTTTGGGTCGCTTTGAGAGCCCTCTGTTTCGGTTGAATTATGACACTTGGGATAACTTATCAATCTCTCCACCTCATTCGGCCACAGGCTTGCGCGAGACACCTTGAAGCGATCGATAGTTATAAGCAAAGACGAATATTAGATATGGTCAAAGCACGTCCAAAAATTTGACACCTCGAATACGTTTTCACCGGACTTATCTAAATTAGACCCCGGCTCGGTGCTTAATCCCTGAAAAAAATTATTTTAAGCTAAACCACCATAGTGCGAGGTGCCTTCGGTGGTGCAAAACACTGACGTTATACACATATACACTACACTGTAAGTTATGCACACACATTTCCACTTTTCATGCGTTACATCCGTTTTTTTTTCTGGCCCGAGGTGGGTAACAAAGCCACTCATCAGACGTTAAAAAATTACAATTAATTGCATCCTGAGGAAATATATGCGCACATTTGGAACTACGACTTCGGATTCGCAAATCCTCGGGAGTCCACTGTACATATGCATGCATTTGCATTTATATCACAATGATTCTACTGAATGATAACGACAAAGCTTTCGAATGAATAGCAGCAGCTTGAAAGCAACCACTGATTTTGGCCGCAATTATTTCTTTGCCGGACTGCTTAAGTGCTCAAACCAACCCACCGTCGTCAATGACCGAAAGCCACACACGGGCCATTGTGCGCTAACTAAACGACAGTTTAGAGGAAAGAAGAACAACTGTACGCTTCAGTGCCCGAAACTGAGGTGTGGGTGTGAGTAGGATCATAGGGAGAAGCACGAAAAGGATATCGGGTGCCGTTTGCTCATGTGCCAAGCATAACGGAATTATCGCTCTTCTGGGCAATTGTGTATGAAAAAATGATCCATCATTCAATGCGTACTTCTTGTTGTCGTCGGTAGTTGATGGACGCTAGATTTGGATAAAAGTATGAACCTGTTTCCATTGTTTAAATGCATCATGCGCGTAATGGGGTCTTCCAAAATACTTAGGAAACTGTCTTCAATAAAGTGGTCTGATAAGTGTTAGCGGCTGTGTACATACTATTATGCTCACGTGAATGCAGGTACTGTCTAGTTGGGCAGCCTTTACGCAGAGGTGAACTTTTCAAGCAACCTTTCTATCCACTTAAATTACGGGGTTAACTGGGATAGGCTGTAGAAATCATGCCTGGTATCCGTCCCCGGGTTTATTTTCATCGAACATCAGGTCGTTCCAGAAACAGGGTTGGCAACACTATTACGGTCATCAGTACTATTGGTTTCGCTCAATACACGAGAAAAGAAAACTAGATAGTATGACTTATACAGCATTACTGTCGTGTGAGTGACGAATTCCGCAACTTCTACTGATAAGCTGAAGAAATATGATATAGCCCACTGCCCTTTCGCTTCTCCGAGAAAAGTTTGGCCACACAACTTAGATTATTTGACTGTTTATATCTCGAGCAACGCTAACAGTTGCTCTTTGCTTCCACAGATGTCTTCTTATGTCAAAACTAATAGCGTTCTTGGAGTAGCACAAGTCAGGTTGCGCCAGACGGTTCCTAAGTGTGGACGTTTCGGGTAACGTGATTGCGGTAGGTCAACTCATTTCGGATGGAATGACGTCAGTGCTTTTTAATGGCACTGAAGTAGAATAATCGATGTGCAGGAGGGGACGTTAGGTAACAAGCGTCGACAGTCTCAACTAAGGCTGTGAAAGGTAGTGGATATTGAACTAATTACCAATAGCACTGATGATAGCATTAGCCGTTATATCCGTTGCAGACTACGTTTTATGGTCATCCAACTAAAAAACAGCGTGTGCCGACTGCCTCATAGTATTTAGTATTTGGCTTTGATTGTTGGTCACATTGTTAATAGCATTGACTTTGGATTCCGAACGAAATCCTAGTGTCCGGTGATGATGTGGTCAGAAATATTGCAGCCGATGTGGATTCGCAATAGCCACCAGAAGACCACTGTATCAGTGTGTAACTACTAAACTATGGGCCAAGAAATGACTAAAATCTGGGGGATTTCGAAATAGCTAGTGAAACTGGGTTATACTAATGGATCGAGCCGATTATATAAGTAAAAGGGGTGTCAGTATTCATCCATGAATGAAAACAAATAAACGGGAAGGCATTTCCGAGGGCACCTCGCAGAGGAAGCAAACCTATCAAGAAAGCAATTTTGGAAACATGAAAATTTCTCCATGGGAATTTCTATCGATGGAACAAAATATCCAGATCTGGGATTTATTCAGGTTGACGGGCTTCAACGGAAACACTACAACCCCTGTTATAAACACAGGTAGCCGGATAAATGCACCCTTTCAATCAGCCTCTACTTGACTGAACTTGTCAGGTAGCCATGGATATGCACGCAGCAAATCACAGCTGTACAATCGACTCAAGACAATGCTCATAGGTATGACAAAAAAGCAAAGCACTCAGCCTAACACTTAACATTGTTTCGACTGTCATATGGGACTACGTTTTTGCGATCAGTCCTCGGTGGCTGCCCAAACTCTGGAGAATGCCCTTCAGACCAAATGGAAAGGCGTTTTTTATTCTTTTCGAGATAAAATTAATTCAGCAAAGAGAATGTTCAATTGCGGTGTTTTTGGAACAAACACTCCCTCTGGGAAGACATTCTGAAATCAACTGAGTATACTTAATCGAAAAGAGAATTACTGTATGACGGTACATGGAACGGACTGAGCGGCATTGTTGCAAGCGCTTTTGAAATCACGTGAAGCTATGGTTTCATAGTGCACAAAGCAGCGACAACATGATACATACTTTTCTTGTCTTCAACCAAATTTATTATGGTTTGGTCAAATGGTTTGCAACTACACCTTAGTCTTTCAAAGAGGAAATAGCGACATACAACATCAAGGGCGCTTCTCAGTCTGTCACTCAAGTTTAATATCCGCTTCTCGGACGTGTTCCCTGCTTCTACTACCATGCCGCTGAAAGAAAGCCGTATATGCCACCTTGTTGAGTGCACTGGCACCGACGTTAGCAATCTCAACACAGAACCCAAACAGCTACTTCTACTTTGCAGCTTAACGTTCAGTTTAGATTCAGCAATAAAGTTAACCGACAAGCATGAAACAGCGAGCGGCATACTGTTGGTCTTATTCTAGCGCAAAATAACAATTAACTCGCCTTACAAAATTGTTGAACAGCCCACTGTAACCTGATTTACTGATCATACGTTCGCTCTCTCAGATGGTGACACCGAGTTGAATAAATCATTGAGTGTTATGTACTCAGTTTACTCGAATATCAGCTTTCCTATGAAGCAGGAATTTGACATTGACCAGATATTTCGTGTTCCTTTCGTGAAGTACAGAGTAAATACACCTGGACTAGTCAGTGGTTGACATCAGATAGAGAGGCCTCTAAACATTTTCGAGGAGGAGAGAGGCTCTATATTTGCACTTCCAAGATTATGCATCTATTTCACATTGTGGTATGACGTTAATACGGGTGTACAGGGTGTACATGTTTTGGAAATCCCCATTAATATGGCAAAAGTGGGCAGTTGTCTGACTGGAAGCTTGTGTGACTGGAAGTTTATGTTAGGAATCACGGATTCCCTGAGGCCAATGCAGATGGTAATTTCGATAGCCGGCAATCGAATTCATATAGGTGTTTCACGTAAAGAAGGACCCATCACTGAACTGATATCCAGAAGGCTGAATCAGCTTCTTTACCCATAATCCAGTGGCAGTCGAAATACATCTAAAAGCTATATTCCGTGTGTACTCATCCACAAACATGTGCTGAATACCTCTTATAAAAAGAGGTCCTTTCTGATGGGATACGTCAACACCACTCCGCGGAAAATGCGAGTCCAAGTTAAGCATCATAGTACCGCACGGTTTAGCAGGAAACTCTCACAGCGCTGATGAACCTCAAGCCTTTCACATTGTTCTTGGGGCCAGAAAAGTTAAAATGATCGGAGGCTCTGGCTTCCACCAACATATTAAGCAATTTTAATCCACACACGACCGTAATGCACAGAAGACCTTGCAAACTTTGAACTCATGGTGGTCACTGTGCGTTTCAGATAACAACGGTTGGAATTCTCTCTATCAAGATGTTTCTAGTTTCTAAACCCTAGTGTAAACTGTGGTGCAGTATCCAGGAATTCCGTCACAACAAGTGGTCTTTTTCTTTACGTCAGGTTTTCTTTCAATTCATAACCAAGTACTCATCCGATTATCCATATTAAAATCTTATAAGTTCTCGAGAAGGCTTCGGAGCTGAATAGTGACCGCACGAAACCCGTTTGAAATATGCGATATTTGTCGGCAAAGGCGAAACAGGAGTTAGTTTATACCGTAACTGAGAATCTTCTAACCGGACATTGCATACTTATCTCAACAATACTGCTGATAAGGGGGGATTTTGCCTTTTCGTGGAGCTTGGAAAATGGTTTGCCAACTTCTCGTTACCACATCAAGGTACTCAACACAGCCGTCAAGCTGTTCGCTGCCTTTTAATCAATTTCGGGCGCAACGAAATCCCTCTTAGCGAGAACATCCCTGCTGAGAGTGAACCGTGCTCTTAGAGGAGAGAAAACATCACTCCTTGAAGACTTCTGCTTCAGAGTAGGTTTAACACAATCCAGTGTTTCGTATCACGAGTGACCCTGTGTGCTGAGAATTCACCA